CAGAAATCTGATTTTTGCACTGGCCCTCCCCCATTTGCCCAACTATATTACTAATGATATATAAATTGTGAGATGTACACATGATATAGAGTAAGCTCAAATAGCTAAAATGCTATGCCGCTAAATTCTCATATTTGGTTGGAAAGAAAAATAATTGGTAGTTAATAAATTTTTTATCAATGAAATTTCTTTTTTTTTTTTTATGTTATTATAATTTAATTGGTAAAAAGTATCATTCCTTTCATCAATTTCACTCAAACTAAACATGCTCTAAAAGAAAATGCATCCACAGGACAAAGGGTTGTTTTAATTAAAGGTTTGTGACCAATCTTTAAAATAGTGAAACGATCACAACAACTTTTTAAGGTTGTTGATTTTAGTTATGCTCTAATTGATTTTATCTATAACTGTTATAGATTCAGTATTTAGCAACTATAAAATGCTCTCTTTTACACGTTGCAGATGGGGTAGGAGTTGACCACAATTAGTTAGATTTTAGTATTTCTTACCATGTTAAATCAATGTTAATGTCTTTATGCTTTACGAGCAAAATAGAAATTAGTGGACTTTGGTTGCTTTCAGTTAATTCCATCTTATCTTCATATAAAAATTGAAATTGCGTAATACAGACATGAGATTGTTGGTGAAGCGACAGAGGTGGGGAGCAAGGTGATCAAGTTCAAAGTTGGGGACAGAGTAGGAGTGGGGTGCCTGGTTGGATCATGCCACTCCTGCGACAATTGCACCAACAATCTTGAGAACTACTGTCCAAAAATGGTACTCACCTTTGGTGCCAAGTACTATGATAGGACCATAACATATATGGAGGTTACTCTGATATCATGGTTGCGGATGAGCACTTTATAGTCGTATTCCAGACAGCCTGTCACTTGATGCCGCTGCTCCTCTTCTCTGCGCTGGGATTACTGTTTATAGTCCACTGAGATACTATGGACTTGATAAGCCTGGCTTGCATGTTGGAGTGGTTGGCCTAGGTGGGTTAGGCCATGTAGCAGTGAAATTCGCTAAGGCTATGGAGGCAAAGGTGACAGTGATCAGCACCTCTCCTAACAAGAAAAAGGAAGCTATTGAAAAACTTGGCGCTGATGCATTTTTAGTTAGCCATTACAAAGATGAGCTGCAGGTACTTGATCATTAATTCGTTAATGGTTCTTGACTCAAAATTAATTCGTGTTACGAAATAATGATATTATATTTGTCATATAGGCCGCCATGGGCACCATGGATGGTATCATAGATACAGTATTTGCGCAACACTCTCTACTTTCATTAATTGGTCTCTAGAAGTGTCATGGAAAGCTTGTGCAGGTTGGTTTTTCAGAGAAGCCACTTGAAATTCTAGTATTTCCTTGACTAATGGGTAAGCATGTTTAGAATTAGATACCAATTCATTACGTTGCAGAATTTTCAATGGTGTGCTTCTTTGATCAATATGTAAGTTATAAAACAAGAAGCTAGCTGACATGAATTCCGGCTGACAGGGAGGAAGATGGTGGATGGGAGTTGTATAGGATGGATGAGGGAGATACAAGAGATGATTGATTTTGCTGCCAAACACAACATTACTGCAGGTATGGAAGTTATACTAATAGACTATGTGAACACTGCTATGGAACGCCTGTTGAAAGCAGATGTTAAATACAGATTCGTCATCGACATTGCTAACACATTGAAATCCAACTCTTAAATTTCACCGCTGTTAGCTACTATAAGCCATTTGCCAACACATTGAACTGAAGTACCCTTTTTTAGTTTTTTTCAGGCCGCCCAGTACTATTTTGTTTCAGGATATGGAAAATTCAGTACGAGTCTGACATTTAAAAAAAAAAAAAAGGCCATCCCCATTTTGTTTGTAATTTTTTTTTTTTCTAGTACACCTTAGGTGTGGAAATATCTTCGACGTTTCCTATCCCTGACTCCTTTGATTGCCTAACTCAAAACAAGGAAAAAAATATACCCTACCAAATTGCAAGCCAAACAAAAGAAGTTCCTCTAAATAGCACTCTTTTTGGTTTATAAGGGGAAGGCGGGCATCTGGTTTCAAGCTCTACTATCATCCGAGCTTGAACAAAGGAATTAGTTTCAAAATGTTGTGAACTTTTTTTTTTTTTTGGTTGCCACTCAAGTTTAATTTATTAATAAGCAATTATTATCTTATAAGTTAAAGGGTTCAAATTTAAATACATTAAGTCAATGTGAATAATAAAATTTTCTGATTACATGATAATATATGTATAACATCCCACATACCTTAGTGAATAATTTAAAAATTAGAGTTCTTTACTTTATAGTTTGAGAGATTAAACTAATTGAATTTAAAGTTTAGAGGTTTTAAGTAGAATTTAGTAGAAGTTGAATAGCCTTAACTCAATTATTCCAATTTCTCTTACCACATGGCATTATACCAACCAAGCTTTTTTTTTCCTTGACGATTGGACTTTGATAAGCCTCCAGAAGGCTCCCAAAAGCCCCCATTTTTTTTTCCTGCACCTTCCTCTTCCAGCTGCATCTTTCTTCCTTCTTTCTCCGGCTAAGGTTAAAGTGCTTTTTTAGGTAAGTATAAGTTTTAGTTATGAATTTGGAGTTAGAATTTTGGGTAGTTTAAATTGATGAGATTTGACCCAAATCCTTTGGTTCATAAGATTTTTGGGTATTAAAATTTCATTAAAAATATCTTTAATTTTTTGGGTTGTATGAGAAGAATAGTGAATTATTCTTTTTTTTTTTTTTAATGTTTGATTTAGTGTGAATTTTATAGATTTAGGGACCTTACTGAGCTGTTTCATAGGTTACTATTTATGAGTTAGTGTTTATGGTTTACTATTTATGGATTACTGTTCATGAACACTGTTTACACGCTAATTACTATTCATGCAGTGTACTTCAATTTCTTTCAATATAAAGTTCTATAGAATATGTGAGTCGTGCATGTGGATATTAGTATGAACTTGAATTGTTTATGCGACTGATTAATGGGAGCATTAAATGGAATAATATTCTAATATTATTTTAGACATATTCTAAACTTGTTTAACATATGTATGTGCTTGTGGTTGTGGAGTAAGTGAACCTAAATTTAAAGTTTGAGATATTCAGTGGGAGTATTTAGTGAACCTCTGCGCAGTAAGATTAGTATTGTGATTAGCTCCGGTACAGTGTTGATATCTCGCCTCAAAATTAATACCTTTCGGCTAAGCGGCTGTTGTAGCGTAACTTTAGGTGTCGAATCCACAAGGAAGCTATATTAAATCAACAAAAAGAGTTATTACAATGGAAAATTAAATTAAAAGATGAATTCTAAAATTAAGAATAAAAATATTTAAATAAAATATGATAATTATAAAAGATTAAAAATAATATTATAATGAACAAAACTTCAAGGTTCACTTAATTAATTTGTTTAACTGTTATAAATTTTGATTCCCATTTATTATTCAATTGCATGTTTCATATTCCAAACAAACAATCAGAAGATTTAACTGTGAAGACCAATAATAATAACTAATATATTTATTTTGAGAGAAATTAATTTCAATGAAAAACAAATTGATTTATCATTACGAGCTATCTAAGAGTGACAATATATCTAATCGACAATACTGCAGTAAAAGATCAACTCACAAAACAAATCTATCAATCAATTATACTTTAACAAATTACATATAAAAAGAGAATGACTAATTTTATATGAAATTTTATGAATATAATTTTTAAGGTTTTCAAATCTAAAAAATAATTAATAATTTCTCAAAAATAAAATTAAACGATAAAATCTACGAATGAATCAAAATAAAATAACAAGTCAAACTCCTCAATTAAAATCCTCTTTAATTTTGTTAAAAATTTAGTTATCTTTTAATATAATTATGTAGCCTTGAAAAAGAAGAAAATAGAAGTCTTAAAGCTGTTTTGTTTTCCTAGAGGCTAAACCTAATTTTCAAGGGTTTCTATTTATATTAAAAATAAAATAGAAGTGTTTGGTAATTAAGATAGCAGCCTTGGAGAATTTATTTTATTTTATTTTTTCTTCCCGCACAGCCTTGTCGGTGAGGGGTCGGAACCTGCTTCAGGGGGCGGAACCCTGCTTCATTCTGTTTTTGTGCCACATTGAACAGGGGTTGGAACCTGCTTCAGGAGCGGAACCCCTGGTGTTTCTGTTTTTCCGTTTCTGGTCAAAACAAACTTTCACTTTCACGAATTTTGCTCTTGATGAAAAATGGAGAAATCCAACTTTGGCCTTCAAACTTCCAAATTTACTCCTTGGACTCTCATCTTTCCAACTATTTGCATTCAAGTCCTTTTCTTCTAATTCTCTCCATTTAATCATCATACCTTCAATCGCCACAATATTTGCACAATATAAATATAATGACCACTTATGAAATTATTTGTAAAAAATAAAACTCTTAAACCTATAATTTCACAAATATTAATGATTAAACATACTTTAAATGTATATATATATTTTTTCATCAAATATTACTAGCACTGAATTTCGTAACATTTTGTGATTTTCAGTCCACCAAAAAGAAGAATCAAAACGATTACTTTCTCTTCAATCCACCAAACTAATTCCACAGTGCGCACATGTGCAAATTGTAATAGAATAGTCAAAAGGTGGAATGGTCATCGTGCTTGAAAATCATATCCAAACTCCATCCATTGCGTCACGTGGTATGTCAGCCATAATAGAAACCATCCCTTATATATATTCTGTGCTGAGCGCTCGGTAGAAGGGACACACGTGTAATTAATAAGCACTTGATCTCATTTGTTGCAGAAACTTCTCTAGAAAATGGCCAAGTTAGCAGAAGAGGAGCATCCTGTTAAGGCATTTGGCT